GAACCTGAGTACCGGATGGTACACGCCAACGCTTGGACTCATGCGTGGCAGCCAGCAACTGAGAAACCATCTTCCTCAAGATATCAGTCTTCGATGGGGTCTGCGAACATGGCTAGGCTACAACAGCCACGAGTAAACCGTTACCTACTTGAAGCTCCCAAGTTAGGAGCCCGCGCCCCGACTCACCAACAAACGTCCAACACACCTGGCTCGATACCATCTATTCTTGGCCATAGTTCTTACGGTACTCCCCATCGTACAAGAAGTACCAAAGCTGCAGGCGCCACTATAAACAACCACTTTCCAAAATCTGGACAACCCCAGTTTGTGAATCTACATGACATAACCGCACACAACACGGCCCCCTATACCACCGTCCCTTTTTTATGGGACACTACAAGGTATAGTCAACTGCACCCAACTCATCAAGAGCTAGCGCCTTCCCTACTTTATCTCCGAAATCTTCTATGTTCATTACAGCCCCCTCCAAATCGCTGGTTGTAGCCCCCTCCAAACCGCTGGTTTCAGCCATTCGGGTAGATCCAGCAATTCCCAAGTTTCCTCCTGGCATTTCGATGGCAAATACTCAGCAGTATCAAACTTTGTCATCCCCTGGTCTCACATATGCGCAGCGATCACCTAATATACGCAACTCTATCTCCCCCAACACCTCGCTGCCCCCCTTCTCTCCCACGAAAATGGAAATTGCCCACGTTTGCCCGCAGTCAACGCTCTCATATAGCGATCCGCTTTCGCCCTCAAAGTACATTGATGATCCGGTCTTTCCCCCATCGCGATGTTCCATCCATTCACTCTCGGTCCATCCTGGGGACCACATTAGCCCCCCCATCACCGTCTTATTGCCACCAACCCAATCACGCACAGGAACTGACAAGAAACTACCGCATGATCTACATGCCGACGAAAATAGTAATGCTCCTACTACAACAACCTCCTTACGTGGCAGTATAAAAGTTACTGCGCAAAGGAATGAGCCGTTAGACCCATTACCTTTCCGAAGCTTTATTTCGCAGTCGTCTAATAACTCCCTAGCAGACAACCTGTGGGATCACAATAACCTATATGGCAAGACACCTCAGTGCACCTCCCCAGTTCGCTGTGAGGTACTAACTGCAACAAGAGTATTGCCTGCACGTGAAACATCTGCCTCACTCTATACGGACTCCTCCGTTATGACACGCAGGGATTCTACACTGGACCCCGACCTCACTCTCTCTAAGGATGTACGCAGTCGAACCTGCAGTATGCTCCTTATCAATGCAAGATCCATGAACCACAAAATGCACTACATCGGTCCTTTTGTTCTTCTCTCCTCTCCACAAATCGTTCTGATCACAGAAACATGGCAATCCTCAAGCACCCCTGACAACAACTTAAATATCCCCGGGTACACCACGTTCTGCCATGGACGCAACAACCAACGCGGGGGAGGTTGCCTTATTTACTTAAGGGACGATTTTTGTGCCTCTGAATTTGAATTGTTACCAATTGGAGACCCTGAGGATTCAATGTGGATCCAGACCAATGGGGGTACACTTGACCTCCTTATTGGTTGCGTATACAATCCACCACATGCCTCTAATACCAAGATTAAGGAACTAGTAAACCTCTTCAATGACGTCTCCACAATGTCCGCACGCTACTAGATAGTGGGTGGTGACTTTAATATGCCACATGTCTCTTGGAATGGCCAGAGTGCACCTCTCAAATACAGAGGCTTTGTTGACACCATCTATACGAACAATTGGATTCAACATGTCCATGTTCCGACGAGGCTGTGTAATACTCTTGACCTAAATTTTACGCTTGGCATCTTGGATGCTGTTACTAGCATTAAAGACAAAATCCCATGAAGCGACCATAAGGTAGTTCATCTATCATTTACGCTCTCTGTCTCATCCTATCGCTCAATTAGTCTAACTGGTGATTCGCGGATGTTTAAAAGCAATAACTGGGATAACTTTTCTCTGCTTGTCCGATCAGCTAACTGGGATACCTTCTTCCTGTCCACTGATGTGGACACAGCCACTCAAGAACTTGTTGGGCGGAACCTGGGATACTAGTCGGTAAGCAATGACACGTAATACTTGTCAAATACGACAGTATAGAAGTCGGAGGAGACTGAACCCAACGTGTATTGTACAGGCTACAAGAATAAGAAGCGAATCAGACAGAGCGACAAACGTGCAGCGAGGAACTCACCAAAACGGTTTGTGACCATGGATGTGCAGTCAGTTAAACAAATGGACGTTTCGAAGGTTAAAACAACCATAAAATCCAATGTTATAAGATACTGAAAGAGCATGTTTTCAGTTGCACTACAAGGGCCTCCCCCTAGAAGGCTGAAGGATGGAAGCCTTCGATGGAGCTGTTAGTGGGGGAACGGAAGGTGAGGGTGGATGCAAATGTTTGCAGGGGCTTGAGAATAGCTTCCAAAGTGGGGTGTAGCAGATTTCGCTGGGTCCAGGCTTTTGTTAGTTTTATTTATGACGATCATGTGGACCAGAGTGCATCATCGGTGGGCCGTCGGGGCGGGCTGGTCGGACTGCAAAAAAAACTGGCTAGTCCAGAAAAATGGCCGACAGGACCTTCCTATTGTTGCAGACCCGACGGTGCGCTTGGGAGGTGTCACTCCCCCCACCGCACTTTAGTCCATGGTCCTCGTCCCACGAAGAAATCCAGGCGTGCTCGTCCCACGAAGGAATGCGGGGCGTCCTCGTCCCACGAAGAAATCCGGCGTCCTCGTCGGCAATGCCTAGGCGGCGTTTAGGGACCAATCCTTCGCAGGTGTCTGCGATCGAGGGCGGGGAATGAGGTGAGGATGGGGGCTGTGGGACGGCTGGCGAGTCACTCCAGGGTTGTGTTGAGCAGGTTGGCGAGTCACTCGAGGGTTGCCTGGGCAGTTCCGGCGGTTGAGTTTCTGGAAGGTAGAACTCAGAGGGGGTTGGCAAGGGTCTGGGAAGTGGCTTGACGCCGGAGAGGGGACATGGCATGTATGATAAAAGCAAATACGCTTTTCAGGTTTTTTTAAATGTTTTGGGTTTTTTTTGTCGATTTTGCAAAATGTTTGTAGGTGAGACGCAGGATAACCATTAAAGAGGAAAAGGCGTGTTAATGGAAATAGCAAACGCTTACAAAATCGGAAAAACGGACCGGACGTTTGACCTGTCTACCGCGTCGGTCGGTTGCCTGGGGTTGCGGCGGGATAGGTTGCGGGTCAAGGGGTACGGATGGATCCGGGTTATCCAGTGCTCGGGAAGTCACCACAGGTGCGGGTGCTTGTGAGAGAGCATCAGGATGAGCTGCAAGTGGCTCGTCAAAGAAAGCCACTTTGAGGCGGTCGATGGACACCGTTGTTCGGTGACCATTCTGGTCTATAGTAAAATGCTTCGGAGTCCGTTGTAGAACTCTGAAAGGGCCAGTGTAGGGAGGCTGGAGAGGGCGCCGCACTGCGTCGGTGCGGAGGAAGACGTGAGTGCAGGTAGAGAGTCCGCTGTGCATTTGCACATCTCTAGTCTGTTCACGGGTCGCGGTCGGGCGTAGTGAACGCATGCGCTGAGCTAGGGAGGACGCAAAGTTAGGCGGAGGCATACCCGACGATGCGGGAGGTGAAACGAATTCTCCTGGTAACTTGAACGTCTTTCCGTAAACCAGCTCTGCTGGTGCACATTGCAAGTCAGCTTTGATGCTGCTGCGAATGCCTAATAGAACGAGCGAAATGTTTTCGCTTCAGCTAGGGTCAGCGGAGGCGCAGAGCGAGGCTTTAAGCTGTCTATGGAAGCGTTCAACTAGCCCGTTGGCTGCTGGGTGATACGCTGTGGAATGGATGCGGCGACACCCTAAGAAGTTGCAGAACGTATCGAATTGTGAAGATTCGAAAGGCGTTCCGCGGTCCGTTGTGATGGTGGATGGGCATCCGTAGTGCGAGACCCATCGGTCCAAGAAGGCCTTGAAAACAGTCTCAGCTGTGCAGTCTGTTACCGGAATGGCTTCTGGCCATCTCGTGAAGCGGTCGACACATGTTAGAATGTATACGAATCCGCGCGACGGAGGCAATGGACCTACCAGGTCTAAGTGTGCATGCGAGAACCGAGAGTCCGGGGCAGGAAATGAACCAAGAGGACTGCGGGTGTGACGATGTACTTTAGAGCGCTGGCATTGAAGGCAGGCGCGAGCCCAGGTACGAACATCTTTGTTTACGCGTGGCCAAACGAAACGTTCCATGACCAGTTTCAAGGATGCACGGATACCGGGATGTGACAGTGAGTGAAGTGCGTCAAAGACTGTGCGTCTAAGGGAGACGGGCACGAGAGGTCTAGGACAACCTGTGGACGTGTCACAGAGGATGGTTCCTTCCGTGGTTTGGAGAGGAACAGGTTGCACATGCAGCGAAGTGGACTGCAGAGTGCGTTGTATATCCTCGTCTTGAGCTTGAGCCGATGCCATTGCGGCAAGGTCGACGGTAAGCAAAGACTGGAGAGTGAGGTTGACGCGTGAGAGAGCGTCGGCGACGGGATTGTCGACACCTGAGACATGACGTAGGTCAGCAGTGAACTGCGTGACAAAGTCTAGGTGTCTTGTTTCCCGTGGTGAGTATTTGTCAGAAGCAGAGTTGAAGGCAAATATAAGGGGCTTGTGGTCAGTGTAGACCGTGAAAGCGCGGCCTTCGAGTGTGTGCCGGAAGTGACGTATCGCTAGGTAAATGGCGAGCAGTTCTCTGCCAAACGTGCTGTAGCGGGATTCCGCTGGCTGCAGGCGTTTGGAGAAAAACCCAAGGGGTTGCCATTGCCCACCAACGTGTTGTTGGAGGACGGCTCCTACCTCGACGTCTGAGGCATCAGTCGTAATAGAAAGAGGTGCAGTCGATTCCGAATGAGCGAGGAGGGCTATGTTGGAGATAGCATCCTTGAGCTCGGCCAAGGCTGCCTGTGCTGTGTCAGGGAAAGCGAACTTACGTTCATTTCCTCTGAGTAGGTCAGTCAGTGGCTGCATGAGCTGAGCGCAGCGCGGAATGAAGCGTCGATAGTAGTTGACCAAACCACAAAATCGACGGAGGTGCTTGAAGGAAGTCGGAGCTGAGAAGTCCTTGATTGCCTGGATCTTTCGGGAAAGGACCCCCCCCCCCCCCCCCCCCCCCCCCCCCCCCCCCCCCCCCCCCCCCCCCCCCCCCCCCCCCCCCCCCCCCCCCCCCCCCCCCCCCCCCCCCCCCCCCCCCCCCCCCAAAATAATAACCCCCCACCCCCCCCCCCCCCCCCCCCCCCCCCCCCCCCCCCCCCCCCCCCCCCCCCCCCCCCCCCCCCCCCCCCCCCCCCCCCCCCCCCCCCCCCCCCCCCCCCCCCCCCCCCCCCCCCCCCCCCCCCCACCCCCCCCCCCCCCCCCCCCACAATAAAGGTCGTGGTGCGCCTTACGTCGAAGTCACTAGCAACCGATCAGATTATGAAGGGCAGTTGCCGAGGTGGGGTGAAAGTCCTCATGCATGCAGAGAAGAATCGGCACAGTTCGGAAGCGGCAAGCGCTGATGGGTTGTATACTCCATCGACGTCGAGCGCGTGGTTGCTGTAACACATGCGGTCGCCGATGCCTGAGGCAGGCAGGCGTCAGTGAGCCATGAGCGAGTCCACCGGGAACCACCACCAAGCGACTACGTGTAATGCAGAGAACGTAGGCGGACGTGGCCGCAGACGTTTGTCAAGATACATTGCATTCCATTCATACAAACCGCGTTCTCGCGTGCTAAGTCTCTTTATTTCAGGTGGTGGGTTTTCAATTTTGTCCTAATGCTTTTCTTTCTCATATTAATTTCTACCTGAACATCTTCTATAAACTTGCACACGTCGCTTAAGCTAACTGTAGTTACTTTCGATAACATTTTCGCGTTTGTGGCATTTTCTTAAAATATATTTTCTGACGTCTTGAACTTATCGCGGATTCTTTGTACAACATTTATTTATACGCTCATTTATTGAAGAGTTATGTCACGTATCTTATGCATTAACTCGATTTATTTTATTGTTATCTTTCTCTCAAGTGATTGGCTGTTGCTTGATATCCCCGGTGTGTCTGCGCTTGATGTGCATGTTGACAAGGTGCCTACCTGTCTATTACCCACTACCTCGTCCATACTGGCTCCAGGAGACAGTTGGTCGTTGCTGGAGGGGACGGGGTGCACGGTCCTTGTGTGCCGTGTTAGGATCAAAGAGTGGTTCCATGCACTCCGCGTGGAGCGGGGACTACGTTTCAGCTATACAACGCTTTGTGTGCGATTGAATCCCCAAATACAGCCTGCTTGGTTTTACACTGTGAAGGAAGTGTGGGTTGGCTCCTTTAGATTTAAAAACGTCGCTCGCATCCACATGCTTCCCGAGTCGTGGATTCCTTCGTTGGTTTCACACTTGGATATGGTGGGGTGTAGTGTCTATAAACTGTGGGTGGTTGCCAGCGCCAAACATCCATAGTCCCTCTCGCGTGAGCGTCCTGTGGCGTGGCCCACAATGACAGGCTAAATCCGTAACCCGGATTGCCGCTAACACCATTGTTTTCTTGGGTTCCGTTCGATCACGGGTGACTGCAAGGAATCACCCTTCCCGCCTTGTCACGATCTCCATGACCGTGTTACCCCGTCCCCTACGGAAAACGTCCAAATGTTCTCCTGGAGCCAGTATGTACGGATGGTAGTGGGTAATAGTACAGATAGGCACGGTTGGTCCACATGCAAATCAGGCGCAGCTACACGCGGGCGGGAGGAAAGCACAAGGCAACAGCCAATCATTTTGACAAGAACATTATTTAAAAAGCTTATATACCTACGTGCGTGGCGCGGCGTCCGGTTTCGGATTTGCCCTGTCACGGTGGCCAGCCACGGAATTCCTCCCATTGTACGCATTATATTTGGATTATGGAAATTGACATCCAGGCCAACTGAATGGCACAGAAAGTCCTAATTATCTACACTGTAGGATAGGTAAGTTGAAATTTTTTAGCCAGTTGTGAAAATGCTTGAACGCATTTTTTCTGGACGATACAGTTTTTGAAATTTGGCATTGTATCAGGATTTGTCTAATTAGAGAGGCACGGCGTCGGCAAGAACGTCTGTCTACCGTAGTCAGTTGAAAGGTCCGTGTATACATATGATGTTGAATGTCAGCACGAGAGCTCCGGACAAGGAGTCTGAGAAAAGGACATTTTTAGGCGTGTGAACTCAAGTGTTCAGGCTTCCGGAGGATTGTATCCTTCAACGATAACGAATGTTATTTGTCCAACGGTGAGTCGTAACATCAGCGGGACGATGGATAGAGAGAATAATATAAATAAAGATAAGATAGGATAGGGTTTACTAGATAAGATAAGATAAGGAGGATATAGAGAGACATAATCCGAAGGGGGATCTATAATGATTATGATAGATACAGATTGATAGAATAGAGACGAAGTTAATACGTTAAATAATTCATAATGATATATAACGGAAGAATGAAGAAGTATGGATAGAGATAGATGAAATAAAGAGGAGAGATTATCATAGGGGGGAAATTAATAATAGTATTCTGTTTAATATTTGAGACTGAGTATGAAACATAAAGAACATCATAAGATAGTATAATACAATGATGATGATGATCAAGGGATATGATAAGATATGATGTGAATGGCTGAGGATAAGAGTAGGAGAAAGTACGCATTATTGAGTTGAGCGAATAAAGATTAGATGATATGATAAAAAAGGATATATAATAAAGAGCGGGAATAATTCGAAGATATAGATATATTGGCCGATTGGATAAACAATAAGATAAAATGATATCGCTATATAGGCGAATGGACTATATATGATGATAAATATGGATATAAGATGGGAGCGCATAGATATGATATGATTGATCTGGAATAAGAAATAATTACTTAAATATGATAGTAAGAGGAATATAATAGGGGATTGATTGAGATATTAATTTTTAAGAATATACTGGAATAATGATGTAATGCGATAATCCTGATTGATGCGAGATGATGGGGAGCGAACCGATTGGAAGGGAGGATGAAATGCGAATGGAGATGCGATTGATAAGATAAATCAATGAAGGAAACGATAGATTAATGATAGAATAAATAAAAATGAAGATAACTGAATATAATAAGATAGAACGATGAGATGAAGAAATATAGATGGATAAGATGAAAGATGATATCATGATGATGCCAAAGATAATGGATGGATGATATGGAAGATAATAGATAAACCATTTCCAGGCAAATGAACACTACAGCTTTGTTAGAAATAGTGTTGAGGTCGTAACGGTGGAGGTTTTCTTCAGCTGCTAGCCGTATTTATTAAGGTGGAAATCTCGGCGAAGACGGCGACAAACAGAAAACTAGAATTGCAATCGGAAACGTAGTTGCAAATATGATCAGGTGGCAATAGTGCTCTGGAAAGAATAAACCCCACATAAACCCTATTAACAATCAATACTTAACTATTTCATAGTACACGTGTTTCATAACAGAAATCGCTTAAGAAGTGAAAGCAAGCAGGCCCCGGACGGATCCGTATAGCATGGAAGGGCAACTTCCCAACGGCCGCGATGTAAATAGAGGAGGAGGCAGAGTATAAAGTAGACAATAAAGATAGTCATATAGATGCTAAAAGCTGCTAAGTTGACCCACTTGACAGGAGGAGCAGAGAGTGGTAAGATGAAGATGGTCTAGTCAGCTTAAGGATTCTGATAACCTTGGACGCAAAAAATGGTACGGGTGTGACAAACTTTACAGGGAGGGATGGGACTCCGCGCGGGGCTTTGGTCGAATTCGGTGTGTGGGCAACGTGAATTCGTGGCGTGGTGCTGTGTGTCGCGCCTGTGTTTTTTTTGTGTATTTTTTTTGGTGTGATGCTCGTTCGATGCTGTGTGATTCAATTTTGGTTGCATTCGAGTTGGCCCCTTGCTTTGTCCTCTTTGCTGCGTCGTGCGTGTATTGTTTTGGTTTGCAATGCTTGCTGGCGCGGCTGTATGTGATTTTTGTTGCAACGCCTCCTTTTGCTGTTCTGTGTTTGCTGGCAGATATGCTCCATGTCGATCGCTGCTGTGCGTGCACTGTTTGGCGGTGTTGCGCGTTGGTGGTTGGTGCGTTGTGTATTCTGGGGGTGAGTTGGGTATCTGTTCTGGTTGTAGTGATAGGGGTGGGTCATGGGGTGTCTTGGTGGACGGTTGTGCTCGGGGTGAGGTGTGGCCTTTTGCGCGTCATTTTGTTGCAACAGTGGCTCTCCTGTTTCGGACGTGTGTGCTTGCCTTTTGGTAGTGCTGTGCGTGTGCTCGGTGTCGTTTCTTTTATGCTATTGGCGGGGTTG